GTTGGGAAATGATGGAGGTATACGATAGATCACCCGAAATGATTTCGATTTATCTACAGCATGACCGCTATCAATAAGATGTGCCAAGATAGAACTGTGAATTGTTTTTGTCTGGCCCTTTATAAAGCAAGCTAGTAGATGTTCACTCATTCGTTGGTTAAGTTGCCTGGTAGTACGCCCGATATAGCTATCTTCACAGGAGCAGCTGAATTTGTAAATGCACATTGAGGAGGTCAACTCAGGTAACTCATCCTTCGTTTGCGTAGATATCGCTGGTCGACAAGAGAAAGACAACGCAAGATTGACTGCATAGAATTTCCTGGTGATTACTTTCGTTAACCTATATTTCGGAGTATCACTAGCCACATCCCCGTTAAATTGTAGTTTCATGTATAAAGGTTTCTTAGGAACAGTCGAAATCTCCGACTTCTTTATTATGTCATACATCTAATTCTTAATGAAAGCACTGGAGTAGTCGATCTCAGTCGGTGAGTTGTTGATGAATTCAAGCTCCTGACTTAGAGTGTCTACTGTGTAGATCTAATTTTCACAATGGGAATCTTTAATATTCTAAAATTTATAAGTACATCAAGTATATTAACGCTTAAAACCTCTTATCAACTGATTTCTTCAGACAATAACAAACTTTCATTCTAACCAAAACACTAGATATAAAAATACAATTAAAACTTTAATAAACAATTGTGAATATAATCATTATTTTAAATTATACTGAATAATGATAATAATAATAAACATCATTTGTAATTGTGTGTGTGTTTGTTTTTCTTTCCTTTTTCCTCCAAGATCCTTTAATTTATCCAGAAATTTATGATACTCATAAAAATTTACATTCATCATTTGAACATGATCAAAATGAATTACAAACAAATTTATTTTCTACTATACAACCTATTTCATCATCTTCATATTCAAATATGAATTCACCAACTGGTATCAAAATCTTAACTTTAAATTCAATTAATAATAATAATAATAATAATACCAATTCATCATCAGTTGTATCATCATCATCATCATTCAATTCAACAAATATGGATCTAAATCAATCACAAACAAATTTCATTTATAAAATACCAATTTATAGTTCAAATAAATAAACAATAATAATAATGGAAACCGATCATAAGCATAAAACGTATTTTATAAATAACTATACATAGATATTATTTATTATCTTTAATATGTTGTATTATATAACTAAATAGTTTGTGATCATAATGATTGAAAAGAGCACATAAACCAATTAGTGATAATCATAAGAAGAAGAAGAATTTAAAGAAGAAAAAAAAGTGAAAAAAGAAATAGATCAATATTACCGTATATTCGTTGTAATAAATAAATTATAAAACTTTCTTTTTTTTGCTATTCTATTTGTTATAAATAATTTTAAATAAAAGTAAGAATTATAAAACTTTCATGTCTTAATTAACCACAACAACAACGACAACAGCAACAACAGCGACGATAACACCAACGACGACGGCAACAACAAAAAGGATATTTGATTTATATTACAATATAAGAAATGAAAATAGAATGAACATTAACACTGAGTTAAATAGATAATACCAATGAAAATTTTTTTTTGTTTTTTTTCTTGATAATTATGAAAATTATTAAAAGGAAAATAAGAGTTAAAAAATTGATTTTTCTTTTGATTAAGAAAGTATCATAAAAAACAACATATAGATATAGATATTACTCTGAATGAGAATCGACTATATGATAGTGTAGTCAAACTAATAGATCATCTAAATGTTTGTGATATACATTTTCTGTGTGTGTGAGTATGTATGAACAAAAATATATGTTTTTTTGCCTATTTATATGATAAGAAAACAATAGAGTTCACACACACTAAGCCATATAAAATATAGACAGATCTATTGAATGTTATATATATATGAACCATCTATAAATTGTATTGTTTCGCCATTTTTGTGTACTGTATTTTAATCAACTTCGTGTAAAATGTGTTATCTTTAAGTAAATAAAATGTGTGTTTTTTTGGAAATAAACTGTAGTTCATTTTTATTGAATGATGTAATTTGCCATTTTTATGACGTTTCATAATTCAATCAAAGAGGTATTATATTCGACAATTTCTTAATACAACATCATCAACTAGTTAATTATTTATTCTCACTTATATTAAAAATACAACAGATTCTGATCAAGAATTAAAATATCTGTAAAATGAAAGTGTAAGATATCTAGAACTGTACAATCGTATTATTTTGTTATATTTTCCCGAAATTGACTAATGATAACAATCGATTAATGGTTTTCACTAAAACTGTCGTAATGTTTGGGGACAGTAAACTATTGGATATTCTAAATTCACTTGATGTTGTTTTACTTGTATCATCCATTGTTATTTGGGACTGCGACTGATCAGTCTCATGTTGGCATATATGCGTCCTGTGCGGATTACCTCGATATAGCCCTAAGTCACAGGTTTTTTACGCAAAGATGGATAGTGGCTAGCAGTGGAGTCCAGGACACGTGTTTCGTCCTATTTAGAACTCGTCAACTAGATGTACCTGCATCTCACAGTGGATGTTCACATAAGCAGGTGATTATCAGGACTCAGTAGCTATGTGGACAACGCAATGGCGTTCGAAGCGAACGGTACGGGATTCGAGTCACAGAGTGAACATCATTTCTGAAATCCAGGTACATGCAGTTGATGAGTCCCACCTAGGACGAAACGTGCGTCAAAATAGATTCCACTGCTAGCCGCCATCCATCTTTGCTTAAAAAAGTTGTATATTCTGTCACGAATTTATAGTTTCAATGTACGATCTTGAAACTGTTTAGTTGTGAAATCGACAATTATAAACTCAGAAGTTTCAGGCGAACAGCGATGACACATGTACCAAACTCCGGTTAATAAAATAACACCACCCACTTCTTAAATATTTAGGTTAAAAGGAATCTCAAGGTTAGACTCTTCACCAATTTAATCAAATTCAAAATAGTAATTTTTAGGTTTGAGCATACAGTTTAAAAGTTAATATTAACTACCGCAGTTTGAAAATAATACTAAAAATGAAAACTTTGTAATTACGATATGAAAAGAGTTCATTGTATCATCGTAGAGTAAAAATGACAACATATAGATGGAAGAACATGAAGAATATCATCTGATTTTGATGGATATTATGTTAACATCATAAATCAATAAGCACTGGTTCTTTCAGCTATTAATCCAATAACGTGATGATTATTATATTATTTAAATGGAAATTTCGATGCTCACATATTAGGAGATAGTCAGTAGATTATTATTACATAACTACTAATTGTCAACCTGTTAACCAGTGTGCAAGTAAACAATATGAGTATTTATAGAAACATTTGTAAAAAGAAGCTATAACTCATTGGAATTTAAAGACGCAAATGGATCCTCTCGGTGAAAATGGAACGTGTGATGACTGAATTTTTGAATTCAATCCCCGTATAATTTATAGATGAAAGTAAACAACACCTTAAAGTTATCTTTAAAATTACAAGGACTAAGATTACGTCTTTATAAATGGAAAACTATATTTCCTTTTTTTAAATAAGATACTACCTTTAAATATATTCTCCTGAAAGATGATTTGACAAAGACCATCAAACAGTGACTCTGAGTACGAAGGCTAATATCCAGTACTTCAAAATGCCTTGTGGTTTACATTCCATACAGATATTATCGTTATATTGACTTAAAACGTAATGGTGTCATATTTAGTCAATACAAAGAAATGACTGAATAAACAACTTCAGCTTGTGAGGCAAAATTAAGAAACATACTTCAAGTCTACAATATATATTGTACATTAGGTCATTACAAATATTTTTAGACAAATTCACGGTATGTTATTCATGAATATATGAATAAAACAAAATCCATGTGCTAGTATGCACTTTTTTTTCTCACTTGCCTTGTCCCTCATTGATCGTGTTATCTACATTACGTGTACAATGTATTCATAGAATTTTAGGACTTACTATTTAATTATCTTAGTCCTTTACATTTTGTCGATTTTAATTGTAGAATTTCTTAGGCAATACAGAAAAGGTGAAAATCACTTTCATTGTATGTATTAAGAGTAAATGTAATTTCTACTTCAATATTTATGAGAAATATTAGAGAGACTATAATCTATGGACGGGCCACAGACATAAGATAAGAGGTCTTGAATTTTTGCACGAAATTCATTCATCTATTTAGCTAAATAGTGTTTTGGCATTTCAGCTGATGCCAGTTCGTGATGAAAACCCTGAATCTAGTTTCTAACCTCAACCATCAACCGTAAATCATAATTTTAATTTACCATTTAGTCCTGTTTAGTAGGTGGACTGGATACCATAAGCGACAGCCTACTGTGGGAAAGAACAAACCAGATTCCAGCTCAAGAGGAAATGACTCTGAAAGTGGATAAGACACACATTGAAGAAATCACCGAACTGCATCATGAGACATGCTCTAACTTAGAATCCCGAAGGTGAACGAAAAAGAGGAAGACCAAAGAACATACTGCGTCGAAAATTAGAAGCAGATATGAAAAGGATGAACAGCAACTAGAAAGAACTGGAAAAGATTACCCAGAACAGAGTTGGATAGAGAATGCTGGTGGGCGGCCTATGCTCTTCCACTATGGATAACAGGTGCAAGTAGTAGTACGTGGACACTCTCAAAGTCACTTTAGCGTCTCTTAAAGGTCATCATAAATTTTAGTCTTCCCAAAGTATTATTTTGAATTGAGTAGTACGTATTAACACATCAATATTGTTCTATATCCAATAGAAAATCTTAATAAACATTTTTTGGTTGACTCAATGTAATACTACTTAAATGCTTTTATGTAAATAGGTTTACTATATACAACTAGAGTATATTTCACAATACACATGTAAAACAACTTTGAGTATTTTTTTCTAAAACCATTATATTAGTCACTCATTTATGCAAAATGTAACATTGAGAATTAAGCTTCATTACTTCCAAAATATTGATAATAGAATGGAATGTTTTCATATAAAATCTTTATACTAGAATTCAATGACAAGTGTTGAACTGTATCCTTATTACTATAATCTGGCGACATTGGAATATCATTATTATTGGCAATAAGATTATTAGAATAAACCAATAAATCATTATAAGTTAGTTTGAAATAATTCTGATTTCTTATTAAATTACTTTTAGGTTTATTATTTTCATAATTGTTTAATGATAGATTATTTTGTTCTAAATATATGGTATTATTCATTTGGATATCAGTTGTTTCAATATTAAGATTTGAACAATTATCAATAGAACATATGAACTCTTTCATTATTTGATCACATTCAATTGGTTTAAGAAAACTAGGTGAATAACAATCAATCGAACTAATTTTATCATTCATTATCATTTTCTGGCATGTATTATCATTAAGTAATACATCATTATCAATGTTTATATCAGTATTATTATACTGTGTATCAAATGTTGTATTATTTGATTTTACCAATAGATTACTTTTCAATGAAAGATCTAATTGTTGATATTCTATGGAATTATTATTCAATGAAATGTTATTTGATTCTTTATTATAATTGTCAGATATATGATTACTTACAGGCATTACTTTGTGGAAATTTGTATTACCATTTATGATTGCATTGGAAAGTTTCTGAAATGAAATAAACAATTTTAAAAAAACTTTGATATTTACTGATAAACATCAATCAAAATAATAACTCAGCATTGTTAATATGTTAAAAATTAGTTTAATAAAGGAACAGATAACAAACATTGAAGTATCATGTTATCTTGTTTTATTATTATTTTTTATTATTTCAACACATAAATGTTAGTACAAGAGGGCACCAAATATATAGGCGCCACACCATATTTATGTGTGTGGGCTGTGATACTGCCCCGGTGCCCAGACCGGAGCAGGTGGTTCTCTTAGGGGGCCACACCCCGAGCTTTTGACCTAAAGGTCTGACCCACAATGCAGTGGAACATCATAAGGAGATGCATTCCCATGGAAGCCGGTGACCAACGATTGGTTCATACGCCATTTGTTCCCGCAGGATACTGGAGCCCATGTGCACCATTGGTTTGTGATCCAATTAAAGCGCCGGACATTCGCTTTTCGTCCTCTCATTTTCGTAAACAACACCCTCGCCACGAGAAGGCAATGAGTATGACTTCCCTGGCAGAGGCTGTATACGCGTGGCCGTGTGAGAGCATTTCGAGAGGGATGGCAGGCCCACCTCACTCTCAGCCATACCAGAGCATTTGGGGGCATCTAATCTAAATGGATCACCAAAAATAATTCCAAACTAAATGAAACGAAAACAAAAGGCTAAAAAGACAAAACATGGTTCACTTATCACACTAAATATAAGTGAGGTACAAAAACAGTTTTACTTAGATAATAATCTTTATGAATATGTAATCGAATACTTACCTCTTCACTAGATAGGATCATATTCGATGTGTGATTGGAATTAGTATCCAATTGATAGTCAATTAGTCTATCTGAATTTTCATTTACTGAATAAGAGTGAATTGGTGGTATTTTCCTTTTGTAAACTCTTTTTCGTCTAATTTCATTTGAAATAGTTTTTGATTTCTCTTGATAAAGTCTTGAACTGTTTTTAACTTGACTAGAAATCTACCAGTTAATAGATAGTGAATAAAAATAAACGTGAAATGTTTAGTTGAGACAAATAAGGAAAGTGAATAACATTTCATTATTATCGGTTCAGCAATCTCTTGCCAGTTTAACATTTCGATTTACATTCCTTAGAACTACATTTTAACTACCTTTTAAAAGATCAGTTACTTATACATTCTATGTATCCATTTGATAGTGTAATTCGTAATTACTAGTAACTGAACATCACTGAGACTAGGAAACTAAAAATACAAAGTGAAGGTGAAATATGAGAAAGCAATTACGTATGCATAAGAAATAAAGTTAGTAAATTTCAATTGTTCACCGGAAATTTCGTCATAAACTAAAATCAGCTAGAAAATAAATAAAGAGTGAAATGAAAATCTGTTGAACAACTGAACTCTTCAACAGTGTCCATACATGATTCAATTAAGAAACTTAGGATTTTGCAACGATCTCATTAGATTTAGATCACTATGTTATAATCCATTGGTCGATAATTATAAATATATCAAGTTTATAATACAACATAATCATCCAGTGTCACCGGTAAGTAATTACCTCAATTCAGATATGGCTGAGCACCATTAGTCACGAACTGATATAAATGACTCTCTTACACGATTACAGGATCATATTATGAAAAAATAAAAGGTGAATCGAATGCTCACAGAAACGCAGTTTACAACTATGAATTTGCATAAAAATATACATTACAAATGCTGTTATACGTAATTCTTATCAAATGACTATCTATATGATAATTAAAAAAGAAAAGCACCAGTTATGTATTAAAAACTTTTGATTGTACATTATGTTACTATTGGAATTCGATGAAAACATTTTTTAATGTAGACAGTTTATTGAAATCCAGGATTATTGCGTTATAAAACTATACATTTATACATAATTTTAATTAGTCGAAAAACAAGTATTTCTAAACAAAATAAATTGGACGTGTTCACCTTATGTGCTTAATCTCTCAATAGTCAATACGTCATTAAAAAACTGGGAAATTTTGAGAAACATCTATATAAACTCTTATCATTAACTTATTTTAGTCAAACAATCAAATGAATTCTCAACCTACTAAAACTGCTACAAAATATTTTTTTGAAAATAAATCACAAATTCGATATTATAAGTGAATAGTCTATGAGATAGGTATATTATGACTTCCTTTTTTATTCTTTACATGAAATTTCTTTGTGCTTATTATGTAATATCAGTTATTATTAGACTGCCTTGTGTTATCTATCAATCATCACTGTGGATTAAGAGATGAATATGTAAATTTACCATTATTTGATAATAACCCAATACTAAACGTTTCAAATGCCAATAAATTTATATAATAATCCAACTTCTTCATAGAGTCATATACTTTTCAGTCAACTTAGAATACGTTTTTTTAAAGTTGAGACAGAAAAACGTTGTATTCAACTTCTTTTCAATACAAATCTCAATTTACTGAGAAGGTAATAAGGTATTAAAATAAACTTTTGACTTCTATAGAGAGCTTTACTGAAAAATCTATATGTATTTATTGACACATTAAAACAATAAATCACTCAATTAATAAAACTAGATCATTGTGTTTCATAGATAATCCATTTAAGTATATAATAAAATTGGAGTTGAATGGTGATATATACACTTTTAACAATAAAAGATGTCGGAATTTAGAAAACCTAAAAATTGAGATCCATTTTAAAATCTTTCATTAGTTTTTCAACTAAATTTTTTCACTGATAAAATATAATAGCGGCATAGTAATCATTACTTATTCATCTGTAACTCAAACTTAATTTAGCTGGATAAAGATAAGATTAACCTGTCAAGAATAAAATGAATAAAATCGAATAGAAATAAATGATACAGCATTTAATGGTCTATATCACAGAAATATAATTAAATGAATGGAAACCAAAAGTTATTCTTTATGATCTATGTAAGTTAAACTGATTATATGAATAAATTAGCAAGATAACATTAATCTCCATTGACATTGATAAGTATATATATATATGATCTCTTACCTAGATCTATTTGAAAATAAACAGTTCCTATATTATGTAATAAATACAATAACTTATTTTCTCGAGTACATGTTTAACTAATGCTAACCGTATAAAGGTAAATAAAAAACTATATAATATAAATTTACTGTATCCATAGAATCATACTCATAATAGAAACATATTTTCCTTAGTATAATACAGAATGACCTCCAATTGAGAGAAAACAAAATTGAATGCAAAACAATTAAACAGTAAAAAAAGTGTACACAATAGATTGTCATCAATATGCTTTCAATCTGACAGTGTCAGTTTATGGTATTGTAATAATGGGTTGATATTTCAAATATATTTTGTCACTTGACCAATAACTAATAATTACCATCTTCTAAATTGCCCATAATCAATGAAGTGTCAGTATGTATGTAAATATTACTGTACATCGCTGTATGAATATGAACTAATACATTCACTCAAATAACAATACGGATGCTAATAGCAACCAATTTATTATTCATAAGCTATGTTATTGAATTACTAGTGAGAAATATTTTAAAAATACTGTTGGGTATGGAACACTAGAACATAAATTAGTATCTTATCACTAAAATGGAAATTTATGTTTGTTAATTCGTATACAGGTTCATATATAAATGATCTTTGATAAATGTAAATTTTCTAAATATCCGACCTATTCAGCACGAACTTTACAAAGTGGAAAATGCTTAATTGATAATATACTCAAACATCAAATTGCTAATGTTGTTATAATTGGTCGTTTGAATACTTATTGTCTTGGCTTTTTTAATGCTACTTTTTGTAACTGCTCGTTGCTGTTTGTTATGTCGAGAACACTTATCGCTTATACTCAGAACCAGGGACCTCTGCAATTCCCACGACGCGAAAGTAAGAACACAAAGATTGATATAAGTGATGATTTATTAACCCCAAAACATGACGACGACTCTAGTAGAACATACACTCATTTATACATTGATTGAACACCCATTTTGATTATTAATTAGAATGTAATCACATATATGAAGAATACTTAGAGTTATAACAAATCACAGACTGAGTATAGTTCATGTCAATCGGATACAAGCATATCGCATATTATACAGAATAAAATGTCATACGAGAAAAGAAAACAAATGCTACATTGAGTAATCACTACATTGAATCAAAACGGAAGTAATCTTGAACAAAACTTAGAACGAGTAGATCAATCGAAAATTGACTTTTCTTTCCATTATATCAAATGTCGACAGTTATTTTTAGGTTTAAATTATCTTCTATGCTTCTAGTATTAGATTTATTAGTTTTAAACAGGTTATATGGTTGTTTTGTAGGTATATGAATCATTTTAACGTCAATTTAGCCATATGATAATCTTTGAAGCACCATTCAAGGTATAAAAAAAAGGAGTACTTGATTCTGTATAATTTTGTTCTCCATTTTATTGACTATTATGTTTTGATAAATTCGAACAGATAAACTTGCAGTACTGACCACATAATTTGAAGTCATTAGTACTAGGTTGTTTCCAAGAGTTAATTAATAATGTTTTTTGAATTAACTTCGCATATGGTTTGTAGTACAGTTAGTGTGGCAGTTTAAAAAATATTGACATTTATAATTTGTTTACTAGTTGACATGAAAAGTAACAAAAAAATTGAGTCTAATATTGATAATGACAGTTTCGCTTATGACCATAATTACTATGGTATACGTTGTGATATTTCTTTTCCATTTCTTCTGAAGACAATAGTCATCGATTTTCCAGGAACCACGAGTCGACTGGAGTGTTATTTATTTATTTTATTTAAACACATAAACACTGGTACAAGGAGGCACCAAATATATATACGCCACACTTCGTCATTTGATTTTTGTAAGAGATGAGATAATGCCTCGTCACCCAAACAGAAACAGATGGTTTTCTTAGAGGGTCGTATCCTCAGTTTTTGACCTAAAGATCTAATACACAAGGAAGTGGAGCAACGTAAGGAGATGCAATCCCATGGTAGCCAGTGACCAACGATAGGTTCATACGCCTTTTGTTTCCTCAGGACACTGTATTCCATGTGAACCATTGGTTTGGAATCAAGGTTTTCCAACTCTCCTATGTGAACCTTTCATGTCCACCAACCGAGTTAAAGCGCCGAACATTCGCTTTTCGTCCTCAACCTAAAAAACACCTTCCCCGCGAGAAGTGAGTTGGACTTCCCTGGTAGTGGCTACATACTCGCGGCTATGTGGGGGAATTTCGAGAGAGAGAGAGCTGACTATCCCCACTCTCGGCCGTACCAGGGAATTTGGAGGCAAGCATGGAGTCATATCACATCGTAAGCTAGTAGATGTATTTCTTTATATTCTACGATCAAATATTCTGTTCTACAAAGGAACTGAATTTCAAAAATTACAGTGATTTCTTCCATCTATGACATAAATATGTTTTATATACTCTTTTCAATAAATTAAATGTGAGCAATTCAAAGCATAAAATTATCTGTCTTCATTGAAATATTAATCATGTTAACATTAAGATGAATTTCAGGACAAAGTAAACTGGGGAATCCTTGTCTGTTGCTTATCCTTCATGAGGGGTAACATGTGTAAGTACGCAACTAAAAAACATTTGAAATTAATTGGATCGTGTTGTCTTCATAAACTAATGATTTTGCACATTTCACTCCATAAAATTGGTTCATTCTGTTTGAATTTATATGTTTGGTTGTTTGATAGAAGGTTTTTTTATTAACACTTTTCAGAATTATCTTATACTCCTTACTGAATTACATGGATGAATGAATTTTTTCTGTATGAGTAATAAACTTTGATTTTTTTATTCAAAAATTAATTTGATGATTCTTGAACTATTAATTTCACTTAAACTCTAAGAATAAAAAACTTATCTCAACGATCATATTTCTCATTTTACTTAAATAAAAATTAATCCCCACTGGAAAACTTAAGATTATATTATGTTTGTTTAGCACCTACGAATCGATATATAAGAATTGGATAGATGTAATTTATTTACCAGCTACAGATTCATATACTCAACTTTAGATCATTCATTATGTGTAAAGGATAATGATATTACTAGACAATACAAATTAGATCCGGTAGAACGCAATTTGAACTTTCTACCTAGTTAACAAAAGTCGAATGAAACAATCAATATGCCACAGCTTCAAAACATAAAAAATTAACCGAGTTATAAACTTTTAATAAAGAAACTAATTTTATTCTTATTTAAAATCCTACATGATATTACTTCAACATAATTATTTATCTCGATAATACTACTTGGTTGGGGTCCGCGTGACTATCGTAACCAATGGTTGGAGACTCTTGGTGACATGGCTCAGAATCGATCACAATGGCGTAGGTGTATACACTCTTTGTCTTCCCTTAAACTATGAGATTAAAATTGCTTCATATGTTTCTTTCTACGAACTAATTCTTTCTTCCTGTACTATATCCTTATATGGAATCTTTCTTTTATATATTACCACCATTGAATTAACTACTTCTATGAATCCGGTGTTCATCTTGCTGTGCTAATATACGGTATGGCAACTTGGACCGATGCACATATGTTTGTTTAATTTTCAAAACTAAAGTAGAAATTGTATTCTTTTCGTTTTTTATTTGTTTTTATTAGTTTCACAAAATTTCTACGTTTTTGTTTGTCCGTTTTGTTTTTGTTTTTTTCGATAATTTCAAAAAGACGTTTTTAGAAATAATGAAATAATTTACCGTTTTATAGATTGTTGATAATGTTCATCTAACAATTCTATCTATTTTGTTTGGATATCGTAAGTTTTTTTATTGTTTTACAATCATTATTTTACTCACTTCTCTATAGATATTACTAAAGTTAATGTACTAGGAATGAAAACAATGCTCCGACTGTTATACACTTACAAAAGTGAATGTTTTTTTTGAGGAAACAAAAAGAAACAGATACTTTAATATAGCATCTCTCTTTTCTATAATAATTCAGTTAAGAATATCTTCAGTGATATAATGAATTGTTTACCAATAGCTTTTACTAAAATGGACGACAAAACAGGTGGGGACAACGGGATATATATTTACATGATACTGTAGTGAAGGAGAACACAGGTGAGGATAACCGAATGTATCTGAACACGAAATTACAAAATATCTCACTAAAATCTCAGAACCATACAGTAAGTCTTAGATTTGAAAAATATCAATCCATCGTCTCAGATTCCATTGTTTCTCCATTTTCATACCAACTGCTTTCTGTTCTCGTTCTTTCTTTCTCCAACTTCAACTGAAATATATTTTATTCCTGACTATCGTTACATACTACCTATGTGTATATAAATAGCGCACACCACAATCGTCCCCTTTTTAAAGCAGCCGTTCTTGCAACGGTTCTGCTTGCCGTGCTACTTTCTTCTTCTTTGCAGTCTGTGCCATGACCTCCGTCAAAATATCGGGTCTGCGGCGCTCTGAGCTACATAGCTATCGTTATGTACTACTTATGTGTACATAAGTAGCGTACACAACAATATTACAGAATATCTTGATAAGATCTGAAAACCATACAGTAAATACTTCATTTGCAAAATATTCATCAATTGTCTCAAACTTTATTATTCCTTCGTTTCTATACAAATCAATCTCTGTTCTCGTTCTCTTCAAATTTTATCAATCTTCTGGCGCCAAACATTCTACGTTTGATTGGTGACACATACTATTTATATCTGTTGACATCAATAACACACACCACACTACTATCATAGTCCGTTTTCTATAAACTTATTTATTACATTTAAGATAAACTAATTAAAACCTATAAAACGGCTGCTTAAATCGAATTAACTGGAGTCTGATCATAACTTGAAACCTGCTGGTTAATACATGAAGGATGGTTTAACTAGTTAATCATTGTAGCATACATAACGGAATTTTATTGATCGTATTATGTTTTTTAAACACTAAAACAGGAGGAGTACACGAAGATGTAATGATTCGTTGAATAATATGAATCGATTAACGTAAAACTTTGATGTGCATTCTCATGTTATATGAAAATAATAAAAACGTAGAACACATAATAAAAGAAACAATTATTTTATAGGAGATATTAGCCTTGTTTCAATAAATATTTCATAAGATATAAGATCGCAAGAGCTTAATACTTTCAGTATAGGGTTTTAGAGTTCGTTAAGTTGTAACTAAGATCATGAACCGAAGGTCCTGAATTCGAATCCTACGTGCAGAATCATGGATAAGCATTGCTGAAAAGTGACATACAAATACGAAACGGCCGTCCAGTGCTTTCAAGTTTTCGATGCTGATCTAATATTAATCGGTTCATAATATCAATTACAGCTTAAGATTTATCTAAAATGTTTAGTAACACAATTAATCAAGAGTAAATATTTTTCTAAAACAATCTACCTTGTGAATTTAACAAATAATAAACTACTCTTCAGAAAATTTTAATTAAACTATATGTATATTTGTTTGTTTGTTTATTTTATTTATTACACATAAATATTGGTAAAAGAGGGCACCAAATATATATGCACCACACAAAACAATGAGAATGGGGAGAGAAGAAGGGAAAAAAGGTGAGGAGCTTGAAAATGAACAATAACGAATAGACTAGTGTAATCTGTTTGTTTGTATCCCAACAAATAAAATTTTAAAGCAATTAGTCCCTTTTATAAATTTCGATAGAACAATGAGAAGATGGAGTTGATCTGAAAAATGTGATGTATTAGCGCTATACATTTCGAACAATTTGGTCACACATATACTTGTCAGGGCATTTTTATATGAAAATTAATAAAGGTCAAACAAATAAAAGTACAATTAAAATAACTAAGGGGAGAGAAAGAATAAGAAACTGTCGCGTTATCCTAGGCCATAGAATGACTTAAGGATTACCAAGGTAAATTCAAGGTCACGACAAATTGTTTTTGTACACATAATGTGGGGGGGGGGTAAATTTACGACTAGCCAAGGCTTCAATAAACTTAAGAATTCGAATTTGACAATTTCTATACAACATTCTAAATGCTATATTCATGTTAATTTTATGCCCCGTCTCAATTATGTTTCACTATCGATGAGCTTGGTTTTCTACCTCCTACATTGATCGGATCATTTGACACACATTGATTTTGAAGCCATCTAGGCTTTTCATATAAAAATGCTTTGACAAGTATATGTGTGACCAGGTTGTTTGAAATGTATAACGCTAATACATCACATTTTTAAGATCAACTCCGTCTTCTCATTGTTCTATCGAAATAAAATTTTATTACAATTAATCTTACCTTAACTGGAATATCTTCATATTTATGATGATATCCATATATTGCTATTCTATTCTAAAAAAAATTATTCAAAAATCAAGTATTTAACAATAACAAACAACCATTCAATTACAACTTATTTATTTTCTTTAAATGTATATCAAATTAAATAAACATTTCTTCAGTGTTATGTGCCCGTGAATCTGACTCCATTTAGAGCGTATGGAAGATGGCTGGGAAGCCAACTCCATTTCAAGCCGGGCATTACTCAATATTTATAGGCAGACAAAATAAACTACAGACATGTGATGAGTCATGGGACATGAAGTGTACACACATATACGCTCATATGAAAACAGTCAAGGCTAATAAGCGAATAATTAACAAGGTCAAAACATGACTCAAGTAGAACGAATAGAATGGAATGTCCGGAAACTAGAATAAGATATATTATGGGCTAAAACTAATGTCTAACACTACAAGTATATGGTTGAAATTTATTTGAAGATGATCATTTAGATTATTTAATTTTTATTTATTTAAGAAAAAAAAAGTATTAAAATAAGTTCAAAATAGAAATGGAATTTTATTGTCTATCACTATTGTATTCAATTTATCATAGCAACTAAATAACTTAATTTGATCGTGTAATTTTTTGTATAGAATAAATATTCCATCATTTTGTGTCTTTATGAGGAAATTTATAAAATGCAAATTTTTACATTGATTTAAAACATTCAGATATTAGTTGAGGAGTTGAACAACAAGTGTTTATATTCACTTTATATTAAGAAGATACAAGCAAACAATACCAAGTGAATTTAAACTTCACCTCATTGCACAAGCAAATGGCTATCAGGTCTCGGTAGTCAAGTGGATAACACGATAGCGTTTGAAGCGAATGTTACTGTGTTCGAGTCTCGGAATGGAAATCAACTCTGAGATACAGGTATATCCATTTGACAAGTCCCAAATAGGAGGATTTCACTGCTAACCTCGATCCATCTTTGCTTAGAAAACAAGCCTTTATGTTTAATTAAAAATTAATGAATCAACTGTAGAAATATCTGACCACTAAATATTGCAATCATGGATATTAGAAAGTACATCTTGATAACTATTCAATCAAGTAAGTGGAATAGGTTATTTTAGCAGAAATAGAGAAACATTAAAAAGTAAAATGAATGGGAAAAAAACAAAAGCCGTTCAAATATCACATTATTCAGCTTATCAGAAGATATAAGTCTAAATGATAGAGATTTTCCTTTAAATTACTAGTGTATTAAAAAGTAAGTAATATGAGTCCAGAAAAGTCTTCAATGTGTTTGACAGAGTTTACATTGTTCTTCAGTAGCTACTGATTAAAGATAATGAACACCAATAACAGTTTTTTTTAATCTGTGTAATCAAGTTATACAAGAAAACAGACAACTATGTAAACTAATAATCAATATCAGTTATAATAGTTAAAACGATTAAAAGACTTTCCCTTTTTACTTTTACACTCAAAAGTAGAGCATTTTCAGCTTCTTGTCCAGCAGCTTGTAATCTTCTCCAGAATCGTTTAGGCTGGAAAAATATGGACAGAAATGGAATACAATAGTCACTTCTAATTTCTAAATCTACTTCACTTAAAATATATTCGGAAAGAGGTATTTTTCAACTTTCGTCATAGAAATAACTCTACATAACTGTTGCACACAGATAAACAGATATTGTTGTATCATTCAATCTTAGTACCATAAGTACTTCTAAGATTTTCGAAGAAACTCACCACAAAACAAAGATAGTGAAATGGGAATTTTTTAATCTAATCAGTAAAGAAAACTAGTCTGGATTTGTGTATACTTCACTAAATTGAGAGACTGTAGAGATTTTATCGAAAAAAAATCAACTGAGGCCGATAAGAAATACAAAATGAAAGAACTGATCTCTGTGCTTAACTGCTTCAATTCCAACCACTCATTTAAGTGCTGATGTAGGTCAGGCGCGAAAATGAGATTTTGTATTTGGACAGAGAAAAATGAATCCTAAACATCATTGCATTGCTATTCATGACGATTAGAGGACTCCTCGTTTTTTCACAATCACCTTGTAGGAGAACAATGCTTGACAATTCAAACAGAAGAGGAGTTATTTATAAAATAATGTCTACGCATAAATTAAGAAATGGAAATAGAGACCATTCCTGAAACCCCACCTGATACTTTCAGTTTTGGTGAAATATTATCGTGAGCCCTGGCTCAGTCAATAATGTTCGATTTGTGTGCTTCATTGGTACGCCATTTTATTTATACTGCCGAAAAACCATCCAATCTACGGAGTCGGATGCTACCTTTAACCCAAGAAGTCGGTAATAATAATATGAGTCTATTGTTCGAAATAGACAGAAAATCACTAACCTTTCGCCTGTCTTCAAGGAACACAAAAATAATCTCAAGCTACCTAGTACATGGGAAAAATAGATATTCTATTTATTACTATTATTAATACGATATATATATATATAACACATTCAAACCTTCAAAAATTGTGGAATAAGAGGGATTCAACAATGAAGTTCTATTTATATATACGGCAATATAACTCCCATTGCCCATAAATTATTCTGAGTTCTTACTGACAATTCTTGGATAGCTAGTTTTCAAAAGAAGCGAATTATAAACTTACAATTTTGCTTAAATCCACTTCATTAAACGTGGTGAACTTATATATTCTGTTTGCCGGAACTTTACTCACTGCCAAACGTTTGGGGTTTAAAAACACTACATAGTAATAAGTCACCTCTTTACTACTTGCATCAAATTCAGCATATCTTCCCTGACTATTGTAACAAACCATTCCTGGCCAATCTGGATAGCCTAAAATGAGGTTTGTCAAAGAAACATATTTGCTTACTTATAAGTAGTTAAAAGAATTTAAAAAATAAAGGTCAACTAACATGTTAGCTGATAAGCACGAAAACGTGTAAACAAAAAAAAATTTAACAGATTGGTACATAACTTAGTTTTGTAAAAATAAATGAAATACGCTTCTAAAACTCTGAAGTATTTTAATTCTCTTGTCATTAACTATCTAAGATGGAGTAGCAGACAGTAATTATTAAAGTCGGATTGTGGCTACCAGTGAAATCGAGGACGCTTGTCTTGTCCAATTTAAAACTCTTCATATGCAAGCACCTACATTTTAGCTTTGATGCCCCCTCTATAAATCGAACCCGGCATCTCTTGCAGTCCCTAGCATCAACAAACAGCTCTTACAAACAACATTAATTAAGCTCACTGTTTGTAGACATAGTCTAACATTTCAAATGCTATGTCGATTGGATAAGAACATATTCACCAATGACAGAAACTCACCCAGCCTTTGTAACAGCTAAAAACTATCACAAAAACCCAACAAAAGGTATATATATATATATATATCAAACACTAAATCTACGTTGAACTGTCAGAGATATATTCGACTGATACAATCGGAACAATGCCTTAAGTGAAGAAAAATAAAATTAAAAATAAAATCAATAATCAAATTTATGTTCCCTTACTCAAACTATCTAGAATTTTAAAAGTTAGGACTCTAAATAATACAAACAAACAACCGGTTTTTTGAATTCATCAAAACTTAAACTATACAGGGATTTAAATTTAAACGTGATATAATTAAGAGAGTCGATGGTTTAGACATGGATTATCTTACATTACTGAAAACAGTGGTCAATGAAACAATCGTGAACGCAAATTGCGGAAGTAAAAAACTCAAACAGCATATTATTAGAGTCGTAGATTATTTGAAAAAGAGAATTCATCATTTATTTTCAGGACCAACTAACCTTGAATTTTAACCCAAACAATTGATCCAACAGAAAAATGTTCAAAAATAAACTGATCTCCCTGTTTACCAGCACTTAAATCTTCGGATTCTTCAAAAGGATTATGTATATATTTTTTGGCTGTTGAATTGGCAGTTAATCTTTTGAAGTATTTAGGATTTAAAGTACAAGACCATGAACCATTGAACTGAGATGGATCATAAACTTTTGGTAGGTATCGCCAGTTAGAACAAAAGTTACACTCAACCCAAGTACCTAATCAATAATATCCATATAATAAAATATCATGAACAAATTAAAAAATGCATTAACTCGAGAATTTAAATTTTTATGCAAATAGCTTGGAACAAGTATACCATAGTAGGTAAGTTTCATTTGTAAATTAATTTCATTGACCACTGTGCCGTTTAATTTATTTCTACTGATTATAGTGATAAAAATAATATTATTAACCAATGCCGGATTTATACATTCTCAAAAAGCCAAAAACGTACCTGGTAAATCCTGTTTCTCAATAATATTTATGCGTGGACAGTGTGTACTATCAGCGTCTCCAATTACGAGGCTCCTTGAAATTTTGAACGAACGTTTTTTGCTATTTTTACGGTTGTTACCGTTCGAAATATCTTTAAAATGATTACCACTTGAACTTTGAAAATTGAACGTACGACTTGTCGTCTCATTATATTGAATTTCATCCGTGGTAACTGATTGATTCCCTTCTAGTCTTGAGTATTTGAAATATTTTTCGTATAATATATCTAAAGGGACTGTGGATATCCTATCCAATGTTTCATCAAGAAACTTATCGAAATTTGAAATATTTGGTTCCTATGCAACCAAAAAAATATTCAGATAGTCATCTCAATATAAATGACATACATTCCACTCTTAATAGGAGTGACTAACTCGTTTACTAATATAAATGTTGTGAACGTTTTTTCAAACAAATTATGAATAAATAAACCGTCAGGGTGCTTCATAAGTAAACAATATGAATTCAGTAAATTTATCAGTGAGATAACTTATTCTATTTGTCAGTGAGCATTCTCCTTAAAGAGTTCAGAGAATTGATAGGATATCCTTACTGTGGAAAGTGATAATGAATCGCTGATCGAATCAAAGTTATTTTAATGGTCACGAGAATAAAAGAAAAACAAAATATTGATAACTACAATCAGTCTTCTGTGTTCCTTAGTCATTAGCACCAGAAAAATTGAGTTTCCAAGACAAAACTGGTCAAATTAGTAAACGTTTTCAAAAAATTAACACTATCAGTTACGAGTACTACCTTAAGGGTTCCTGTACTTTTTCACAGATGATAAAACTTCTAGTAAGTAACAGAAGGAAAGAAAGCCGAAGAGATCAAAGATTGGATAAGATTAAAGATAAATAAATGTTATGATAGATAACAAGAAAAATGAGTAGAATTGCCTTGATGATGATCCGAGGACATTCATCCTTTGCTGAGCATGTGAAGGCGAGTAAAATAAAACGGTTAAGTGATATTTAGCTTAAAATTACTTGTTCACATCTGAAGACAAGGAAAAGCTAAACAGAGGGATCTAATTAAACAACTAGGTGGAAAAACTAAAAAGATATGTGTTTGAGACCATATACATGCACTGTTTTCATTATAATATATGTTCAATTAAAAGGATTCGATATATGACAATGTCATGAGGGAAAAAGTATCTAATTTAGCCCAATTTTCTTCTATTCATCATTATGTTTCATGAACAAAGGGATTATTAAACGTACTAATCATCTAAAGCTGAAATTGTAATAACTACTATTTAAGTTATCAAGATTCTGTAATAATGTATTTTCTTATCACTGTTACGTCATATAAAGCCGGAAAACAACTTTAGCCTTTATGTATGTCAGTTACTTCCCATTTAATAAAAACTAACCATCAAGTGTGTATTGTATCTTTCTGACGGAAAATGTTGATGTTATTGTGTATTTTGCAGACATTACAAATTGATTTAATGTAAAAAAAGGTAACTAATGTAAGTCATGGTTAAATATGTGAAAATAAGTATTAAAACAATATATAAAGTTTACTTTAATATAGCTGATTTTTAATAACTTTCGTATAAATTAGGATTTATACTGCATTTTTTTTACAAAACAAATCACTACATACTACTGTAAATTCAGTTCAATTAGAAAATAATGCACAATCCAAATGACACAAACATTAATTTAATTTAATTTTTTGTTAGGTTTTAGAAAATTATTGTTTTTTTTCATAAAATCAGTCCCCATTAAATCAATCAGTTTAATGGTGAGACTTGAATTATTTTTTCTGGTTAGCCTTTTTTAGCGAGTTAGTTTTCTAGGGGATGGGGCCGCTAACCCTATGCCCGACTCTCCTCCTTTATCTGAGCTTGGGGCCAGCAGTAGCCCCAGAGGGGCTCCAGGCGGAGGAAGACCCAGGATAGAGAGGGTTGGAAAATGCTGGTCTACGGCCTATGCTGCATTGGGAGTAACAGGAGTAAGTAAAAATGAGATAATGAAAATCAAAACGTTTTTTCTCAAAATAACTTTTATTCCTAATCTCAAAAGACACAAATTCTTTTTCATTAATTTGAAAAAATACAAACAAAACTAACTAATTCACAAATTAGATAAATAAAACGAGTTATTTTTAATTCATTTTTGTATTCTTTGTTTGAATCATATCATTAATGTTCAGGACTGCAAAAGATCAGTCTCTTATTAGCATATGTGCATTTTGTACGGGTTGCCTCGATATTGCCTTAAGTCACAGGCATTAACTCTGGGATGCAGGTACATCCAGCTGACGAATACCAAATAAGATGAAACACACGTCCTAGGATCCTACTGCTAGCCACCATCCATCTTTGTTTATGAAACAAGATATATTTCATCTATACAAATAACACTAATAAGAATTACGAAGAGAATATTTAGAGAAAAAAATATTCGTACTTTAAATAAATTTAACTACAAGAAACTTTCAACCCATAACAAATTTAATTTAATTAGTTGGTTGGTTTTTAGTATCCAACTAATCACTGTTTACTTAAAACTACACTACTCTCTTTTTAAAAATTATATTCCAGAACCAAATCTGGAAAGAAAAACAACAAAGAATTGTGAAAATTGTATGTTTAAAGCAAATCAGGAAATTACAATATTATCCTCAATAATAATAATAATAATAATAATAATAATAATAATAATAATGATTCACCAATGAAAATAATGTTTCTATGGATTCATAAAGTTTGAGATTTAAGCAGAATTACTTTGCAAAATTAATTTCAATGATTTACCTTATTCCGAAAAAATATCCATTAATAATCACATATTTATTCTCTGAAGAAGTGGCTTACACTGAGTCACGAAACGTCAAAAAATTTAATTTTTCTCCTCATTGGTATATTACAAATATACATTGTTTTTATTTATAACAATCTTTCCAATGCTTAATTTATTCTAAATTATCAAGTCAAACTTTGGTGATAATCAAATCCAAAAAATGTATACACCGTTAGATGCCGGTCAGCTCAGTGGTCTAACGGTTAAGCGTTCACGAGTGAGACTGATAGGTTCTGGGTTCAAATTTCGCGAAGTGGGATCGTGTATGCGCACTGCTGAGGAGTCACACAATAGGACGAAACGGTCGTCCAGTTCTTCCAGGTTTTCCATGGTAGTCTAGCTCTAATTGACTCATGATTTCAAACGTTGAAATTACTATAATATCTACAAAAACCCTACTGATACGAAATGTATCGTTTAAATATTATTCATGTCTTTTGTTTTTCTTTTCATTGAATTGAGCTTTTACATGATCTTACTTTTTTAAGTTTTTCTGTGAAAAGAAAACATCATTTTGAAGCTTTTTAAATATATTTGTATATACAAATACACCTTTAAAATGTATTTTATGAGAAGTAATGCAACAAGTTTTCATGTAGAATAAAATATCACATTACTATACTTAAATAACATCATATGTTAACTTTTATAAAATATGCTAAAACTATAAGTAGTATGGTCAGTTTTTGTTGTGAATTATTTTTCTAAAATAAACTAGATATAAATATTTCATAATTACCATTTTCATTATTATGCACTGATATATGCTATTATTCATTAATATAGTCTTTTAGTTTAAATGAACTAGATGAGCAAAATGCAAACAAGTAGTGAAGTTCAAACAATAACATGATCGCCACAAAACGTAAATGATCAGTGATCTGATCTTAAGAAATCTGTGGGGAGGGGAGTAGTGATTATGTCTCAGAAGTTTCAAACTTGGAGAAAGTAAGTGTACATTTTAGCTTAGTTTTTAAAAATCCTATAAATCAAAAACATTATAAACCCAACTTGTCTATAATTTTTAATCATAGATGTTGACAAATTTAGACTTTCTTCAATCATGGCTCAATTCACTTCATTTGTTATTAGCCAAGATATACAACAAAAACCCAACTGAATAGTGTAAGTTTAAGTACTCTAAGGATTGAGAACATAATTAGAAATGTTAAGTCTTTACTTTTTTGCTAACCGTCGAATTATGATCTTGTAAAAATTTCATCATACAAATTTGAATACGTCAATTACCTAGTTTAAAGACAGCGTTACAAATTAGTAATTAATGAATTGTAAACTTGAGTCATAAAGACCTATTGCTCTAACATGGAGCTACTTAAAATTTAATTTTGAACCCCATCTGTCTTGATCTTTAGTAGAGACAAACTTTTCTCATCTAGACAATTTACTGTTAAGTAAAAAGTCATTCGTGAATTTTATATCACATTAGTCTTACAAAAATCAGCATTCCGCGTATTATATTGAAAATGGAGTTACACCGTTTTACTTGATTTTCTTTACATAACTTCAAAAGATTTATGAAATAACAATGGATTTACAAACAGATATGCGTAGTCCCTAAAATATTAACAAATAATAAAATAGTAAGATTATTTTCAGAACCTTGAAACCTGATTAAATATGACGGCCTAAAGCAAAATGGGAAGATGCAATAATGTATTTCTAACTGTTTATCCTATCTTCTGACATTAAGTTATGCGTTAGGTTTCACCGAGCTTAGCGACATAACTATTTATTTTCGACATTTATGTGTACGTCAAAGTTATAACGCCAACTGAGATTTATAGATGACAGTGTTTAGAGAGACTAATAGAAATTCGTAGATATTTGTGACAACCATACCTCATTCTTTGTCATAAAGTGAAGAAAGTTCCAAATAACCCCTCGATTTCATTCAACCTTATGACGTTGCTCATCTTTTGTTACTGATCCGGATACTGTTTGAGACGGTGTATACTGAAAATTTGTATACTGTGTAATGGACAAAGTAAATCCAAATAAAGTGAAATTTATCTCAGCTGGATAATAGGCTACAGTGGAAATGCCTACTCGTAAAAGCTTGAACGCTACCACCAATGTTAAATACAGCATAACACAATGTCCAACAGGACACAAACGACTGTATCCAGAAATCCTAAGTGGACTAATAGTTAAGACGTCTCACAAGTATGATCCTATACAAAACAAATATACACAAGCTTAACACTTTATAGGAACATTCGTCAATATTAGAACGAACAGTTTGACAAAAATTGGGAGCCGAGTATAGAGAAGTCATTATATGTGAAAATTATATTTGAAATAATCTCGGCGATTAAAATTTAAAATAATTCCAACATTTTGTCCAGCAAACTTGATTGGACTTCTTCACGGTGGTAATCAAAATCAAATCATCAAATAAATTATTTGATTTTGATTACCACCGTGAAGAAGTCCAAACAAGTTTGCTGGACAAAATGTTGGAATTATTTTAAATTTCAATCGCCGAGATTATTTCAAATATAATTTTCACATATAATTACAAGCTTAACAGTTCAGCAGTAACCGACAGCAAACAAATCATGCCATGAACTTTTTTTAAAAAAACTTGTTCCGATGGACACAGACTTAATTACCACATATCTTCGGCCAACAATAACAAAACTAAGAATGGTATAATTAAAATCTGTACGACTAGCAAGATTTATTGGCCTTCAACATAAACACAGTTCGAGAAAAAGAAATAACGAAACAAATAATTTTTTCAAACTCAAATGTTTTAAAGAATATTCAAACCATCTTAGTAATAGTATTCGTCTACGGCTAGCAAACCAGAAGATCGATCAATGCAAACAGAAATATATGAGTGTTATAGAGAAGCCCTACCACGTTACATATTTTCGCAACAATCCAGTAAAGAGAACACTCTCACTTCGTATTTCTTTACTTCTGGTTAGCGTTTTTTAGCGAGTTATTTTTCTACGGGATGAGGTCGCTAACCCCATGCCCAACCCTCCTCCTTTATCCACTTCGTACTTCAAGCAACAGGATTAAATGAATTCCCACTAGGTTAAGAAAACATATGCAAAAAGATTATTAATATATGGTTATTAAATAAAATATTTAGGGTCTTTGGAACTCCTAATGTCTTCCTGATATGCCTTCTCAATATTCATGTGTGAAGAAATATGCAGTAACATACAATATGAGAATATGATTATCATTAGTCTTAACTGTTTATATTTAAAAATCTACATTACATGTTCAAGCGATTAGTAAATTTCCACCAACAATTAATATGATGAATTATCTACGCCTTATTAATTCGGGTATTTTCGGTTTTGTAGTTCTATCTATTGGTTACATATTAAATTTGTCAAACAGATAAACAAAGCAACAACATACTAACGTTCCTTGTTTAAATTAGTGATTGGTTAATTGAATGAAGAAAAAATAGTTGGTTCAGCTAAAAAATGAATTAAATAATTCAGCAATCACTCATAGAGCTCTATAAAGGAGTTACCGTATGAGGGACCATAAGGGTATTCTTTTTGATAGTTTTGTTCTCTGAGCTGGATGGTTTGGTCGTGGAGCTTTCATCGTTCTCCTGAACGACATTGTCAGCACAAACTTCAGATAGAAGTGAAGTGTTCGAAATTCTTTAGAGAATTTTTAGAAGCCTGGCACTCAGGTCAATCAGCAATCAACAAGCACATTGAAATCGATACAATTTCTCAACCAATCAGGAAAATTATGCATAAATATAGGAACAAAAATCAAATCAATGGGAGACACAACCAAAACAAAGGAGTAGACGATGACAAATTTAAGGTCAATGAGAACCAATCAACGTCGAGGTGTACAGAACAAACTGTGAAACGCGTATGGAGAAATTCTTATTCGACATGCTCCAGTCGGACTCAAAACAGAATCAACCGAGTTATTAAAATCACCGATAAATAGTTAGATCGCAGTACTTCTACATGCAGCTATCGTGCTTAGAATTATACTGATAAGTAGTTCTTCAAAGAAATAAAGTATGCTTTGGAACCTTATAAAATCATTTATATGAAATTCCCGACGACGATAAACCGAGTAGAAATGTTGATGATCAATTAGTACGACATAAGTGGGCCAAGAACAATTACTACAGAAAGTTTTCCAGTTTTTCGGCAATAGATTTGGTTAAAGCAAACAAACAACCGAGTATTTGAACAATACAGTTGGATGTGCTAGAAAATGTTGACTTGTTTGATATTCGGCACTCGGTGTAATATCCACACGAACAAATAATGACTGCTTATTTCTTACAAAGATGACGATAAACACCATACAATTCTTTGATTTTCATATGCTTCATTCCAGCAATGACACAGATAACAAATAGATTAAGTTTATCGACGTAGAAGGGTTAGTGACTAAAACAAAAGGTAGTAGTTGTGCGATCGCTGTTCATAAAAGATACAGATACTTGCCGTTTTGGAAATTAGATTTTTCGTGGAATACTTATAATACAATGAGTCTATCTAACTTCAGTGTAAAAGTGGATAAACCTTAACGCCCTCTTCGCACAGCTTGACCAATAAATTTATTTCTACAATGATTGCACATAATAAATCCAGCATGTCCTACATTATTATGTACAAACAGAGGCTGGGAGAACGCCATTGACCTGGTTACCACTCAGTAAACAAACAAACACTGAAATCAATCAAATATCATTTCACTATAACTGGTCTCCCCTTCACATACACACAATGACTCAGCTGGTGGTTCACTCAAAATTATTAACATACTAGTAAAATAATCTCCCACATTTACCATGGTTAGGCGACGTGAACAAATGATCATCAGATTTAAGCCACGAAGTTGTATAACCGACAACAGAAACAAAACATTACCTCCGACTAGCATCCTGATAAATTATTACTCACTTCGGCTGACAATTTTAATTTGTTGTACAACAATGAAGAAATAAGTGGAGAGTTCTAACTTTTCAATCTCGCTACTGCAACTGATTGTTTGGCTTTCCTAAAGCCAGAAATCCCAGATCGTTCAACATGCAGACCAGGAGAATTTCCATTGGATATCTTTGCCACTACATAATTTTCATGTGCAGTGATCTCAGACGGAGATATAGTTACGTCCGAAATTACTTCATCTGAACTGTTCAACCGACTCTTCAGTTACATGAATTTCAAAACCACTTTCACTTGTGTTGCAAAAGTTTTTCGTTTCAATTTCGAATGAAACCAAATATGCTCAAAGGATAATTGAATATTATCAGTAATTCACGGTAATAGCAACAAAATTATAAGAAACCAATACTTATATATTCTCATAAATAAATATTTCAAATAGATTTCTAGAATGACTAATAACCCAGAGAATCCTAATTATTATTTCAAAAGTACTTTACAAAATACACTTCCCAACTTATCAAAATGATACGAGGTTGAAGCGTTTTGTCCAGAGAATATCTACAACTCGCAGTAAGATAGCCCAAGATGACAGACTTCAATGTTACATAGTCCACAATGTGCAGGGAAAATAGAATTAGATAACGAATTGAAAAACTTTCGTATATATAGACAAAAGAAAAAGAACAATTCGGAACTCAAAACGACAGAAACATGTTTAAAACAAAACAAACAACAGTTTTTCACCATCAAAAAGTGTTTACATAACTCATGTAAAACAGAAATAGTAGACAGTGTTCAAACGCAACATAAAACATCTTACTCTTTTCATAAACATTTTGGTATCTACCAAAGAAAATGAAATTTTTTGTACAACACATTATTGCATAACATTAATTCAATAAAACATTAGGAAAGATGTACATTTGTATTTACACCAAAAATACCACTTTATAAACAGAATATGTTTGACAGAGTCAATGTCTAAGAACATTTGTGAAACATGTTAGCTATCAAGAGTTTCTAATATAGCTCCACTATATGCAAGATCCCAATAGTGTTCCACATCACGTTTACGAAATTGTTCGCGTGCGTAAAGTTCTGTGGGACATGCTTTGAATTGAATTTTATCGAATGCACGTTGTTTGACTGTACCCTAAAAAATATGAGCAAAATTAGACATCAATACATGTTAGAACTAAAACATTAGACTCTGAAAAGCTCTGATGATATAAAAAAATATCGAAGCCAAGGAACATATTTTTCGCTTATTGGTCATGTTTTTCCAGTCAAATGAAAACACCTAAATTAATCAAAACATTTTCACCTATTATTCACAAGTTGAGATATAACACAACTAGATGGAACTTCATGGAAAACACTGATTCAGCTGTATAGCCATCTTTATAAATACTGGCATCAAGTGCACGCGTACTTCACCACATGAACACGTAGCCCCACATTTAGACTAGGAATCTAATTACATGACGCTGAGAAATGGGAAGTGAGACTGTTTATGACAAATTTCTGAAGCCAGCTTCATAGTAAGTTTTAGGGGCTGGAGATTCGCCTTAAAGAATCTAGATTACGATTGAAATAATTCACAAATAAATACCATCCATACTGCCAATACCTTTTGAATCACTGGTAGTCACATACCACTTTCACATTGAATCAAAAGACAAAGAATGTTCCGAATCTCTTAACTCAAACAATCTAATTTCATTAAGCTCATCTTCCGTTCATCTAACAAGAACAAGAGTACTTTGAATAAGTTAAGACAGCTTCTTCGTAGTATGTTTAGTCTCACTGAACATGTGGTTGAAGATCCGATATGTCTCGAAATCAATAATAACTAAAAAGACGATCAGTGTATGAAACTACAGTATTGCTGAGTAACATTTATTTAGTGTTTTAATTATGTTTAGGATCATGATGAAGTTTTACAAAAGTAAATATCAAGAAACAAATATAGCGAAATTTTAAGCGACTAAACGTACCTTCCAAATTAAACGACATCCTGTGTCACTGTCAAGTTCAGATGTGGCAGCACGATCTTCGTGAGAGAAAGAACCCGACGGATTACCAACTGTCCCACGTTTACCTTCGCGCCATTTTATTCGACAAAGCATGAGACGTTGAAATTTCCGTTGTTGTTTAGGTCCCCCTTCTACAACCACTACATTGCAATCACTGTGTAGTGCGACTAACCCTGTCATAAGTAGCTGGTTGGCATTTGTCTCGACCTTGAATCGATGAGATGGATTCGAAAAATCCTTTACTCTAAAGAAGACAGATAGTACCAATATAAAACATGTTGACTGATAATATTTGAAAATACATCAATTTAAAGATACATAATAATCCTGAACCATTTTTAAACTATTACAGTGATCAAAACTGTTTGTTATAGTTTAGTTTGCTGACGAATTTCATCAACTCCAGTTTGTGGTAACTAATAAAATAATGATATGAGTTCAAAACACGGGTATTCCAGGTGCTTTTTGAGATGGATCAGTATAAGCTTATCATTCACACTATTTTGTCCATGCTAAAGCTTTTTACACTGGTGAAACTGGATTCGAAAATATCTATTACGGTCCCCGTTTTACTTTGAACAAGTAACATTCAATGTTTGTTATTGTTATTATTGTTGTTATTGTATATCCATTATACTCAATATCAATAAATAGAGGCTCCAATAAATTCAGAAAATTTTCTGCTTTGTGATTATAAACACGGGGCAATAACCATAGCATTCATACCATGTAATTACTAAGTAGTATGAACTTGATCAACTGCTGTTATTGTTTTACATAACGATGTGGTGTATCAAAAACTAAATGTGTAAGTAAATAGTGCAAACCTAAACAGAAATAAATGAATTACCTGTAAACAGCTACATGAACGGTATGAGTTGTGTCTTCTCGTATTTTCTTAATACGTTTGTAACGAGCTTGCTCTTTTGTTAATTTTCGGGCAGCGTTAGCGGCTTCATGTGCTCGTTTCCGGGATTCCATTTGGGCTCGTACATACGCTTCCACTTTGCTTGGGTCCTGAACAGCATCGGACCCTAGGACTCTCATCAAATTCGCCAGACGGACCTGAGGACAATTAAGCGAAATGTAAGGAGAGAGTTTAAAACGAATACCCCGGAAGTCAGAAAGAGTAAATGAATGGAACGGTTTTCTAGAATATTGTTGACAGGAGCTATTTTGAGAATGAAACAATGAATACTGTAATCAGTACCACCGGCACGTCCGAATTCCTATTTAAGTTTATGATATCCACAGAACAATCAAACAAACCATATTCACATTATTCATTTAAACCAATCTTTTAAAAATTTAGCCTTTATACCTTCTGGACACTAATATACTCTTTCTTTAGCCTCCATTCGTACAGTCATATTAATTCACAAGATTTAGTATAAGGCTCTTTTGTCTTTAACCATAACCAGAACCAATTGTCATCCACAAGAAGTCACCAGTTGCCAACAGCAACTATCTTATAGACCTAAACCAGGAATTCTGAATATTCTGACCAACAGTCAATGAATTTATGAAGTAATTTAATATCTTTCTTTAAAGCGATAATTTAGTGGTTAAGATAATTGACTGAAACACTTCGTTTGAGGTTTTAACTACTCGAAATGTTTTGTCAATCGACCGACGAATAGGCTAAAGTGGTGGCTTGTCAATACGGTTGCCAAATGTTTTGTTGTAGTTAACATGAGTTGGAAAATGCTGATTCCAAACCAATGGTGCACATGGGCTTCAGGATCCTGAGAGAACAAATGGTGTATGAACCAATCGTTGGTCACCGGCTACCGTGGGACTGCATCTCCTTAGGATGCTACACTGCCTTGTGGACCAGACCTTTAGGTCAAAAGCTCGGTGTATGGCCCCCTAAGAAAACCACCTGCTTCGGTCTGGGCACTCAGGCATTATCACAGCCCACACACAAATCAAGTGACTTGTGTGGTGCATATGCATTCAGCGCCCCTTTGTACCAATATTTGTGTTCAAATAAATAAATAAGTAAAACGTTAGTGGCTTTTAAATGAGTTCGAGTGAAATTCAAGTCCAGACTTGACAGTTGCTCTTGGTTTAAAGGACATTTTGTACTACTGAACATAGCAAACAGTAGTAGTTCTAATAAAGTCAGTCAGTCAGTCAGCTACAACGTAGGACCAGGCACATATGTGCATCGGTCCAGGTTGCCATACCGCATCAGCACAACAAGATGAACACCGGATTCATAGCAGTGGTTAGGTCAAAGGTAGTAATATATAAGAGAGGGATTGCATATAGAGATATAGTACAAGAAGGAAGAATTGGTTCGTAGAAAGAAAGATATGAAGTGATTTTAATCTCTTAGTTTAAGGGAAGACAGGGAGTGTATACACCGACGTCACTGTGATCGATTCTGAGCCATGTCACCAAGTCTCCAACGATTGGTTACGATAGTCACGCGGACCCCAACCAAGTAGTCTGCATCTACCAACATGGCTCAGACTAGAAGTTAGTGACTTCAAGCACTGATGCCACGTTTTGGTTTGGCCGCCCCTAACTTTCTTCCAACCATTTCCAATACCGGATAGCATTGCACGTCGTGGTAATCGGTGTTCAGGCATACGTAACACGTGGCCCAACCATCTCAGTCGATGAAGATTCATAACCTCATCAACTGATTTACCATCATTCCCTAATACCCTGCGTCTAACCTCATTATTACTTACCCGGTGATCCCAGCAGACACCAGCAATATTTCTAAGGCATCTGTGGTCAAATACTAATAGCTTACGAGTGTCTTCTACTCTTAAAGGCCATGTTTCGCTGCCGTAAATTAAAACAGAACGGACTGCCGCGCAGTATACTCGTCCTTTTATTGATAGACGGATATCTCGCCTTCGCCATAGGTGACGTAAGTTGGCAAAAGCCAAGCGAGCTTTTCGAATGAGTGCTGAGATTTCGTCCGATACCAACCCATTAGGGCTGATCAGACTTCCAAGATAAGTGAAGTTGTCAACGCGTTCGACTACTTCACTCCCTATCCTTAGTTCAGGTGTTAACGCAGACCAGTCCTGAAGCAACAACTTGCATTTAGAGGGAGAGAAGCGCATTCCAAACATCCTGGCATTGTTGCTCAGTGCTACCAGAAGACTCTGCATTTTATAAGCGTCTTCACCAAACAGGACTGTTATCTGCGTATTCTAAGTCGATAAGTGGACCTCCTGGAAGGAGACCAATGCCCGAGAATTCAGTCGACGAGAATGTTATTTCCATCAGTAGGTCTGTGATGAAGTTAAACAAAAATAGACAAAGTGGACAGCCTTGACGGACACCACTTGAGGTTGCAAAAGCAGATGACAGTTCTCCATAAGCTCTGATTCGACTGGTAGTGTTCGAGTAGAGAGCCTTCACAAGGTTTATGTACTTCTGAAGTACGCCTTTCAATGACAGACGCTACCACAGAATATGGCAGTCTACGGAGTCAAATCCAGCTTTTAAGTAAAGAAAGACCACCATTGTCGGACGCCGATAAGTATGCCTGTATTCGAGAACCTGACGAATGGTGAATATATGGTTCATACAGCCAAGTATGAAGCCAGCATGATTTTCTTGTATTTGCAGTATATGAGTTTTAGTTAGGCGGCCGATAATTAGTGAGGTTAGTATTTTAGGTGCTATGTTAGTCAAACTAATCTCTCTATGGTTGTCACAGGATGATTTTGACCCTCTCGTGTATATTGAGACGATCAATGATTGTGACCAGTCAGATGGGATTACGTCCAACTCCCAGATTTTAGCTAAAATATTCGTCAACCTAATCGTTAAAATTAGACCACAATCCCTAAAGACCTCTGGAGCCAATCCATCTGGACCAGCTGCCCTTCCTCTTTTCAGATTAACTATAGCCTTTTGAACTTCAGCTTGAGTTGGGGGACCTACCTCAATGTTCCATTCACATTGTCTGGGAATGGAGGGTAGTTGTAGATTAGCTGAAGGCCAGCTGAACTGTTCTCTGAGATGTTCCGCCCATCGTTCTAAACGCCTGGACTGATAGCAGATGAGGGTGTCGTCTTTTTCCGAAATAGTCTGACTTACATTTTACTTATTAATTCCAGTGTCTTCTATTAGTCTGCAGAGCTGTCTTGTGTATACGTTGAAGGTTCCAATATGTAGTTTGGAGCGAGGTCTCAGTAGACCTGGGATAGTGTTTTGCGCACTAGAATCGTTGACTACGATGACACTTGAGGAGGAAGCCAAAAGAGGGAGTTTAAAGTGGAAAGTCGATGTAGGAGGAATAATAGGAATTGAAGAGGAAGGTTGATTATGAATACAGTGGTCTTGAGTGCTGTTAGAGGTGAGGGCGGTTATTAATTCCCGATTGCCCACACCGTGGAAGGGTTCTTCTGGAGGCACCTGAAAAGGAAATTGGATTAACAGTGGTTTTACTGACCTGAACACGTGACCGTTGTGCCCAAGGGACAACTGCTTGAGGTCCGTCACACGCGACCATTTCGTGGGTAATTTTTGTGTTAGCTCCGTACTTGTTGAGACCTTACCGCCGGAGACGGATATCCGTGGGATAAGGCGAAGTGTGCATTTTTAGGGTCGACCTTTTCTAACCCCACCCCTCCTTGTGGGAAGGCATCATAGCTTTCATGCTGGTTATCTGGAGGAAACACCTTACTGCTGTCACACCTCTGTACAGTCAGCAGTACGACTTCGCCTTCGGACCTTGGGTTTGTTGCTTTTAGTCTTACCGCTCTTCAACCGACCTGTCTGGCATGGTAGGACCTTGAGGAACGGTTGTTCCAGCCAGTATAGCTCGGTTGCTTCATCACGATAGGGAAGCCCGATCACAGTGCAAGCTAGCAACAACGGTCGGAGTCACTCTGAAGTGATTGAATAACATGAAATACATGGAAGGATTTGCGTTATTCTGCGTACATCTTGAAAATAATATTTGAACCCTGAAGGTTTGAATTTATCAACTTGAAATACTATAGGGACGGTTTGCATTCTCGAAAAGTGTTTTGAAAAACAATGTAGACGATATACGTGAGTTGTTAGGTTTTACTTTGAGTTCCGATTACTGCTTGAGTCGAACAACACATAAAAAAGCGCAAACAGTAAAGAATATGTTATACCAAGTCGAAATGATATTGTCTTCCTGTCATTAAAATTCAGTTTTTTAAGCCTAACTAAACGCACTATGCGGTTAATTGGGGGAAAATATAATACCTCTGGTATAGCACACAGTTTCCATTCATAAATGAAGGACTGGTTATTCAATATACAAACGACATTAAACTAACCTTTGGTTCAGGAGGTGGCATTAGACCAAGTCTAACCTTTTCTTGCTTTTCTCTTTGAGCTTCCTGACGGTTTTGACGTCTAAGCTTTTTACGCTCTTTCTTCGTTAGGAGTAATGGTATTTCCGGTGGTTTGGACAGATCAGTTGGAGGCTTCAACTTAACTGGATGTTCCACCAAACTTGTGATCCAGGCCTTATTAACTGCGGCAGAGACAGGGAGGCCATGGATTGCTAGTTCGTCTAAGGTGGAGTAACTGGGGTAGGAAAATAAGACTATACAGAAACAACCCACCTAGTTACACCCTCCTTCAGAATATAAGCATCCCACCATTCTAGTAATGGTATATCTGTTTCGTCGACGGAACGTTTGGGTTGGATGGTCGACAGTTTGGCTGCACTAGCGATACCCGTTTTTCTGACAGCTTGGGCGACAGATTCCTGTAAGACTTGAAGTTGGAACTTGGTTCGCATGCGCTGAGCCATTTTGACGAACTTTCCAGGTTCATGGAAACTCAATTGCCGCTTTGGACGTGAAGCAGCTTTAACTCTGAGAAAATTACGTTACTAACTGATTATACCTTAGTCGAGGATCAAAAAATATGGTTGATACTGAAGACTTTTGAGGTTTCTTCTGAGTTGTGGTCTGAAGAACCTCTTTGAACTGCTGGGCTCGTTTTGCCCTGAGATTGGCCTGCAAACATATTTGATAAACATTAACATACTTTGAGTGTTGGTGTGTAGTGAGTAAGCTGTATTTCCTCTCCAGTAGAAGCATCGATAGTTTTACCTTGCTCGTCGAATATCACACTAGCCAGATAGTAAGTTGATAGTGATTTACTTACTTGGGAATATCCTTAGACTTCCTAATGAACAAGGATAAAGACGTATCACTATTTTACCTGGAGTCACTGTTCACAGAGTGGCTACTCAGAATTCCTGAGTTCAAGCGAGCGTTTATCTGCGCTTGTAGTTGAGCAGCTCGTCTCATTTTATCAACTGTCTCTGTATCAGGAATGACTCCTGGGGGGAAATTCAACCCGTTGGCAGCACCATTCTCCGTCTAACAATAAATTAAGTCCTTCAAAAATTACGAAACCAACCAAGCCAAGCTCAAACTTCCGTTGAGCTATTGCTCTTTGAGCATTAGCCATCATTTCACGGATTTTGCCTGCAGTGAGCTCCACACTTATTTTAAATATATATAAGAATATGTCTACATACGGTGCAGCTCCTGTATTTGCTGGCCCAGCGTTAAACGTCGACATCACGAAATTCCTTATAACCTTGAGAGCACGAAAATCCAAAGCTAGTACCTATCATAATATAGCAATTAAAACACCGTCTTGACAAACAGAAACATAAGACAAAACGTCACTGGTTTTCTTCATACAAAATAATGATGAACCTCTGTCTGAATATGCACTATCATCAGAACTCGTCGTGTATTATATGGAAAAATCGTTCGGTCCCGAATCTTATTAAAGTCTGGTTTCTCCTACTCATAGCTCATTCTGATGAATATCATGAGTAAATCGGGCCGTTATCTTTTAGTCAACCAAACAGTAAACTTTTTGGAGCAGTGAATTTGCTCTCATTAGACAAACGTGTAGTGATCTGCATATACTCATAACCTTTATGTGAATTTACATGCGTCTAATTTGAAAAGACAGTCTTTTGTTATAAAAATAGGTTGGTGAACCTGTGTTAACCCTGACAGATTGTCGTCCAGTGAGGGCCCAACTTTTCCCTGAAAATATTTATTATTGGGGCTGATACCGCATGTTCGTGTTAGGCGTTCCAGTCATTGATTACTCGATGGGTAAAACGGGACCCCACTTTAAGTTTATTAGATCCCGGTTTGTGAACCTTCTTGCTATGACCTCGGAGATTATCAATGCTGGAGGGAGCAAAAAGATAAGGCATACTAACATTCAAATCATAATCAAGGATACTAAGTGCCAGTATAAGTTCACCTCGCGTCCTACGATACGACAAGGGGAAAAGATTTAGGCGTTTTAGGCGCTCATCATAAGGGAGTCTAGAAAGACCCTTCACTAATTTGTCTCCATACGCTGAACATACTCAGATAAGTTAGTATGTTTTATCAGATATGGGCTAGATGCTTGAATACAGTACTCTAAGTGTGGTCTTACATATGTGGGATATAAAATTCGAAACATCTCGTCAAAACGTTTGAATGCTCGGCGAAGTGACCGTAACGCACGATAACCTTTGGTAGCAATGCGTAGTTGTTTTCAAGTCATGACTTATTATTACTCCTAAGTCTTTATGTTCATTAACGCGTGGAAGAGATATGCCATCAATAGTGTAATGGTTACAATTACGGTGTCCGATGTGCATGAGCACACTCTTCCTACAATTAATATCTAAGCCTCAAACTCAAGCCCATCTAGCTAATTCGTCTAGGTCAGCTTGAAGATCAAAATGATCGGCTTCACTTCTTATTGTTTTCCAGATTTTGACATCATCTGCAAACAATAATGTCGATGACTTAAGCAACAACGGCAATTAGTTAACGTAGAAAAGGAAATGTAGAGGGCCTAAGATGGTGCCTTGGGGTACATCACTTCTGGTAGGGTTCCATTCAGATAGCGTTCCATTGACCCTCACTTTCTGTCTGTGATCACATAAGGAGTTTCCTATCCATTCCTGTACAGTAACTGTCATTCCGAAGCTCGAGAGCTTCTGCATAAGACTTAAGTATGAAACCTTGTCGAATATTTTGCTAAAATCTATGGATATCACATCCACAGACAGACCGTTATCTAGGGCTGCTGTCCAATCCTTTCTCGCAATAATTTAGTCAAGCATGAACGCCTTTTACGCAACCCATGTTGCTCGGGAGTTAACAGATTGTACGAATCTATGTGACTTAGTAACTTAACCCGGATTATCTTTTCAAGTAACTTAACAACTATGCTGGTTAGACTAACATACGGGTAGTTATATACGACCATTCTTAAATGTAGGACCGACTATAGCGTCTTTCCAATCTCTAGGGAGTTGAGCGAGAGAAAGGGACATGTTGAAGAGCGGTCTTGAAATAATGTCAGCAAGAGATGACGGCAGTCGTGGATGTAACATGTAGAGGCTAATTTTCCCTGTATCTGATCCCTATTGCTAGTATCCCATTAACTGAGTATTTAATGCAGGCTCAATCTCCTAGTAAAATTATGGATTTACTAGAGATTATTTAAAAGCCTGAACACCATTTATACAGAGAGTTTATTGTTAAAGGTTAGTAAGATCCGCAAGCGAACAGGAAGCAATCACATAGGGAAAACAAGTGTGTGTGTGTGAGTGTTAGAAATCCATACATATTTTTGAGTGTTAATCAAGTGTGGATAAATTATTGATTGTCTGTATATTACAACCAATGGGAGAATAGATTAAAAATTGACGTGCAGAAATGTGCTCAATCAGACACACACAGAAATTTACATAGTGGGTCAAGTGTCTAAATTACAGTAGGCAGATAAATCATACAGTAGTTGAATGGGCTTACTACAAACCCGTCAGGGCCCGGTATCTTACAAGGTGGAAGAATAGTTTCCTCAGTCACATACACAGATCCTATGGCTGGGATCTCGGTGTGATTGGGACAAGTATTTGTAAGAATACATGTAGAGTAGACTTGGCTATAATAGTTTGGGGAAGTCTCAACTTCTTCCCGATCTGATTTAACTAGTAATTCTGAATATTCGTGTAGCACTAACGGGGAAATGCCATCACTATGCTTCGTTCGCCGTTTCACATTCGAAAACAATCATTTCAGACAGAAAGGCTATCATATGCCGACTGTCGTTCATAAATAGTACGGGATTTGGCTACGGTCTTTTTACATATATTTCGGATTTTTATATTCACACTTAGATGATGCGTGTTCTATCTAAAAGAGCAAGTCCCAGAAGTGTTTCCTACACTTCACCAGCTTCCTGGTTTCCTTATTAATCCATTCAGTGCAATGTGATAGTTTACGTGTTGACCATGGAATAAACAGTGATGTTACGAACTCAAATATGGCCTTAAACTTATTCCATTCGTCTTCGATCGTTCCACCCGCATCGACCGAATAGTCATTCAAGTCAGCACAGTCTCTGTTTGCCAAAAATATTGACTCGCCAAGGACGCGGTGGAGCAAATACAAATTGTATACCATATGTCCGAAATCTAAAGTACAACGTGATCACTATTCACTGGTGTGGAAAGGTGCTGAATATCGATGACATCCTCCCAGTGGTGTGTAAGGACAAGGTCCAGCAATGACGGGTCATGTTCCAAGTCAAAGTGTCGGGTTCGCGATACATTGAACAAGAGCACACTGAATAATAGTTGACAGAAGGTCACTATTGAAACCCCCATCTGGAGCTGTAAGCTCTATCCAGTTGATATGTTGTGAGTTGAATTCTCCAATTATGAGAAAACATTCTGACTTACTCTAAGAAAAGATGTGTCTTAAGATAAGGTTTTCAGCAAGACAACACGGGCTACGGTATATTCCTCCTATAGCCACTAACCCGTTTCTAGACGTAATCGTACAACATGCTACCTCACATGTACCACTAACATGCGCCTTCGATATGGTCGACTGTATACGAAAGCATCTTTGATGTATAACATTATACCCCTCTTTGTGATCTAAAAATCTATCACTTCCAAAACAGATGTAGCCTGCAATGATGAGAGAACAGTCTGTGTCTACGGTGAGTCAAGTTTCTTTGAAAACAATCACATGGGGACTTAATTCATCCACAATCAAACTTAGCTCGGACGTTTTGTTTTGAAGACTACGTGTGTTCGTGTAGCACCCATTTAAGGTGTTTTGGGGATCATTCGTTTTACCTATACAGGTCTCTGAAGCATTGGCTTCCAAGACGTGACTACCCGAAAACCCTTAGTCGTGAGTTTCGTTTCGCCATTTAGCTTTCGAGTTCGTAACTCTGTAAGAGCATTCTTCCGCTTTATCCGAACTTCAAGCGGTCAATCTAGTCATATACGAATATTTGAATCAGAGCTTTGTGTTCGTTTTTCAATATAACATCTCTTTCTTCGAAATTCCCGAATACAAACATTAATATCCTTTTTGGTTAGGTGTCGCCTCCAACCTATTTGCCGAGTAATATCACTTCCGTGTTATGTAACCCTGGAACCTCCTCAGGCAGTACACTTCTGATTAAGATTCCACTAACTGTAGGTCGTGTGTGTCTTTTTGTGGGATCATTGTCTTTTGACGCCTCTACATTCAAAATAATTAGGCTAGGAACGGGTTTAACTTCTTTCAACGTAAAACTTTTCATTAGTCAATACCAGAAGGCTAACTGTTTGTTGGATGAGTAATGTTTTGTTCAAACGACAAAACGTACAGAGCCGACGAGGATTGCGCTTCGAGCAGATTTTATAGGCAGTGAGGCTCAAGCGGGTACACATCGTATGGAAACGCTTCTTAAGCTCATTACATTGTATCCCTTCTTCCACAGGGAATAAAAGACTAAATCTTATTATCGGGATACTCTGAATATTAGTGTCTCAACCCTCCTCAGGTTCGGAAGATTTTCTAAAGAAAAAGCTTGTTAGAAAGTCTATAGAATCATATAACTGCTTACACTCTTACATAGACTAAGAGAACAGGTGGCTTCTCAGTATTATGAGAAGATAGTAATACTGCATCACTAGTACAGAAGGATAATGGTATTCCTCAGTTATCCACAAATTACTTAAGCACATTATATACCATAGAGATGTTCTCTCCTTCAGCTCATACAAACCCTGTCTTACAAACACTGTATACCGTGGCCATTAAAAACTCAATGAGTTAAATCTGCCTAACAGGCTTAATATAGACGAATCCATGTGATCCGTTGAGGTGCACTCAAGTTACTAAATGAATTAACAAATTTTATAGCAAATCTTTCAAGCATGTTTTTAGTCTGTTTCTAGTCCAAGGTAGATTACCAAATAACTGAAAGAACGCCACAGAATGTCCTGTCTTCAAAACAGGTATTACACACAAACTTGGAACGATTGACCAGTGCGCCTAGTCATCGCGGGTTTCCAGACTTTAAAAAAGATTACTGGGAGTTTTTTTAAGTATCCGGACAAAAGATGAATTTTTTAAAGCAACATGGCTTTAGAACAGGTTATTCATGTCTCACTAACCTTTTAGTAGACCGTGAGAGTTGATGAATTCTTAAAAATCAAGAGCCACCCATAAATTTAGTTTATATTGACTTCAGTAAGGCTTCTG